GAAATGGGTGTTCCCCAGTGAGCTGAGCCGATCTCTGCTCCCCAGCTTTGATCTACAGAGTGCTTGGATTCAGTTCCTGTTCCCATTGAAATGAAAGAAAGAGAGCAAAGAAAAGAAAAACTGAAAAAGAAAAAGCCATTATCCTGGTTTATCTTATCAAGATAATGCCAAACAAGGCTCAATTTGAACAAAAGATTTAGTCTTTGCAGCCCCAGCGGCCTGTTCCTCCCTTTAGCACCAAGGTTTAAAAATAAACTCTGCGCAGGGGAAGCGGTTTCAATGAGGACATTGTTACTGGTGTGAAGTGATAATGGGGCCTTTTATAGCTACATCTGTTAGTAAATTGTTAGGTTCCAGTTTCAGGGCTGTGCGATGCCGACTGCCCCGCGCCTTCCCTGCTCACCCAGCGCGTTTCCGTCCAGGCGTAGCAGGAGAGGGAAGAGGAGAAGCCATTTGGTTTCTTTTAATTTTGCTTTTAAAGGTCCCAGTGCTGCCGGTGTTTGAATGTGACCCCAGGGGAACGATCTGCAAGTCCCGTGCAGCACCGGAGCCTCTGCTCTTGGTGACACGTCTGGGCCGCGAGCTTGGGCGCCCGTCTCCGCTCGCTCAGCGCGTCCACCCGGCCGCCCTTCCCTTGGTTCTCCGCAGCCAGGACCCCGGCTCCAGCCCCGAGTTATTCCCGACGGCTGCGGGAGCGCGAACACAGTGTATGGAGCCTATGTATGGCCGGGCTGCGCTTCCCTGCGGGCTGTTTGCATCCCGAAACAGGGAAGGAGAATTAGGTGCTACTAGCCAAACTTGGCCTTCCTCGCTTCCCTGCCTCGGGTTGCTTTCCTATAGAGGAGCTTGCTTTCCTATAGAGCCGCTGGAAGCGAGTCGGGACCTGGCTTCGAAATATGCAGTTTATGGGATGGACGGAGGGATGGACAGATGGACGGACACACAGACAGGCGGTGAGATGGTCCCTGCAGTCGCCCGGGTGCAGAACCACATGTGTGAGCCCTGAGGATGCTCAGAAGCTCCTGGCACCGCTCGGAGAAGGCAGGAACAGAAATTAAAAAAAAAAGAATTGTAATTCCCCCCAATTTTTTTCCCGCACTTGGATTTTCGGGATGTGTGAATCGTTCTCATATGTGAAACGTGCTTGCGATTTAGAGCTTCTCGCGAAGGGGAGAGGGCTCGTGTTCTTGTTCGAGGCTATAAGTGGTCTTTGGCGGCTATTATTGGGGATTTTTATAGGTGGCCGTAATCTGGCTGCTTTTAGACCACCCAGCTTCTGTGTGTGCTTAGTTTAAAAGTATATAGATTTTAATAACCTTTATAAGGTTCCCTATCTCCCTCCAGCTCTAGCCCTACCCAAGATCAATGCAGCCACGTCGTTAAATTGTGTTTCATTAATGGGTGTGACCGTAGTAATATGTAGCTTTGATTAAAAATGTAAGTTTGGGTGGGCGCTTGTGCATCCCAGCACTGTTTGAGGTGGCACTGTGTCATTCCCAAAATCTGTCCCCAAACTGTGTGTCCCGGCGGGATCGTACGCAGAGATAATGGGAATCCTTTTGCCCGTGTTTAGCGGGAACGGTGCGGATGTGCAGTGTAGAGGGCGAGGAGCCCGGGATCCCCAGCATGTGCTTGCAGACCCTTTGAAATTCCCGGGAAGCCCAAGGTCAGGCACTCGGCCTTGGCTTGCGGGATGCTCCCGTGGCCGCCGCGGTACCCACGTCTTCCTCACGGCAGCTTTTGGGGCTGTGCAGAGGAGCTTGGCATCCCCTAACCCTTCCCTGGGCAGGGTGTGAGGGCTCCTGCCGCTGCCCCCGTTGTCCCTGTGCAATTCCCACCTCCTCCTTGGCTGCTTTGGCCTCTCCTCTGCCAAGGAAGCTGCAGCGCTGCTGACGCAGAGCCCGGCGGGTTGTTCCGTGGGAGCCAAAGCAGCTCCCGTTCCCGTCCTGTTTGCAGCGAGTTTTGTGACTCTGAAGTCGGCTCTCGTGCCTTTGGGATAAATTAAGGGTAAAATTTCCTAAAATTGTAAATCTTTACTGCGCACAGATCCAGAGCGGGGTATATTTAACCCTGGCGAAGGGCCAGGCAAGCAGATGTGACCTAGAGCACGTGGCGAACTACTTAGAGCCCAAATACCTGAATTTTAAGAGGGAGGGAAGGGGCAAGAAGACATAAGAAAGCGGCTCGTGAGGAGCAGCCCTGGGAGGGTCCCAGGCTCCGTCTGTCCATCTGCAGAGTGGAGAAGCCGGGCACTGTCTGCCGGATACTGCGGCTGCGTTATCCAAGTTATTCCTTCCCTGGGGACCAACCCTGTGGGGTCCATGTGGATGTTGAGGTCGCAGTGCTGGGGTCCTGCCTGGCTCTGCAGCCTCCATCACCTCCCAGTGCTGCATTTCTGGGGCGCTGGTGCTCCAGGTTGCTCTCAATGGGAAGCTTTCATCCACTGGGATTTTTAGTAATTCTGATGGTTGGAGATGGGAGATACTGCATTATCAGAAAAAATGAATAGCAGGAGTAAAATCCTCCCACATTTTTGCAAACTTAGGCAAACTTTGCCAAAGTCCAGCAAACTTTAACACGAGGGCATGTACAAGCGCAGTTGTAAGGGTGGCTCACGGCGCTTGCTCCAGCTGCAAGGCAGCGCTCACGGGGACCCACGGGGAGCCAGGGGGATCCGTAGGGATCCGCGGCTCCGGCCTCGTGGCCCTGGCCAGGCCCCGCGGCAGGTAGGGCCGGTCCGGGAAGCGCGCGGGGCCGCGGCGCTCGCGGGGCCGCTTCCCACCTGCGCGCGGATCAAACGGCGCGCGCGCCCGCGCAGCCCTGATGTAATCTCGGCAACCCAAAACAATCGGCCCTTTCATGGCGGGCCGATAACAATCAAAACAGTATGTAAGGGCCTGCCATGCAAGAATACACACGCACATTATACACGGCGGGGAGCTGAAAGCCGCACTGAAAAGGGGCTTGTTAAGAATATGTAGCCTGCTTTCATAATCAGCCTGTAAAAGAATAGGCCCTTGAAAACAAGGGTTTAGGCTTATAGAAGGCTTTCTGTGCCTTGACCT